CTGGGTGGCTTGGCGATCGCGGGCCGTCCTCACTGGCCCCTCGGTTCCCCTCTCTCTTGTAAGCGGGTGGCTCCAGGTCTGTGTTTAATTCTGGTCTCAGATACAGGGGTTTGGTGCACAGTGACACTGATTTCTCACCTCTGTCCCCAGACAGCGTGGCCCTGATCTAATCCCCTGCAGAGTGACAGAAATTCCAAGTCCCTGAATGTCACAGTGTCCTGCACACACCGCTGGCCTCTCCCTCCCCAGATCCCAGTTCTATACCTGCCTTCTCCTTCGTTGATGAAGATGTGCTGTGTACTTTGGGTGCCAGGGTGGACGCCGGGCAGGGGCTCAGGTCTCCTCACAGAGGGAACGTTAGCTTATTGATTGACACTTGCAGGGACTTGTCAGACCCCTGGTATGTGCAGCTCTGCTGTGGGTGAGCAAGAAGGAGCCCCGACCTTCATGGGGCTCAGCCTTGGCAAGGGATGCAGGCAAAGCATGCAAGTGAAGTGATCTAGAACATTCTGCCAGGTGGTGACAACTCTGGTACAGCCAAGGGGTGGAGGATCACGGTGGGGGGCTGTCTCAGGCTGAAGGGGCACCTCTGCAGAGGCTATGTGAGCAGAAACCCGCAGCTGGGAGCTGAGACCAAGATCAGGGGCTAGGCAAGAGAGCAGTTAGGGCCAGAGCCTGGGGAGGGAAGTGGCTGGGATGGAAGGAAGGAGGGGAGGCAGGGATGGGGTCAGGGGACGCAGGCCTCCTCTTAGCAGAGGCCCATGTGGCGGGACGTGCTGCAGAGCTGGGCCAAAAAGACTGGTCAGCATCCAGGAAGGTCCTGGGAGTCATCGCCAGCAGAGCAGGGACCACATTCCACAGCGTCCCCTGGGCATGCCGCCGTGTGGAAACAGGTAGACATCTACGTTGGACACGAGAAACAAAACTGTAAACAGATTTGAATTGTTTCAGGTCAGGTTTTGCCACCAACTGGGTTGTGCAGATCTTCCATTCCTTTTTTCTAGAGCTTTCTGGACTTCAGAACTGCTCAGCAAGAACTCAGGATCTAGGGTGGAGGCCAGTGGCCTCGAGTCTGGGCTCCTAGAAGGATTCAGGGTTTTACTCCCAGTGGGAGAATGAGCCCTAGGAAGGATGGGGTCTGGCTTTTGCTTTAAGAGCATCAGGCTGACTGCAGGTGGGAATCTGGCTGTGAGGTGAGGGTGGAGGCGGGGAGGCTGGTGAGGAGGCTACTGCAAGGGACCAAGCAGATGATGGGGGCCCAGACCTGAGCGGCGGGTGGGCTGAGAAATGGTCAGTTTCTAGACATGGTTTGAAGGGAGGGCAGAGAACATGCTGATGGATTGTACGTAGAGTCAAGGACAGCTGCAAGGTTGGGGGCAATGAAGCGCTGTGTCCTGAGAGGGGGGGTCATGTGTGGTGATGGAGGAACTACTGGGCTCTGTGGTTGCGCATAGTAGGAGCATCTCACCTGCCCAGAGGGACACTGGGCAGCTTCTTGGGCCGTTCTCCTGTGCAGAATGGAAAGTCCTTGGGTAAAGCCATGCCTCCTGCCTCCATGGGCACTTCCTGGGCTGAGCCTGTCCAGCCTCCCAGCCTCCCCGCAAACACTCAGAGCCCTCCTGACCTCCCAGGGAGTACTGTCCTGGTGCCCTGTCTTTGCCTGTCCCGTCCACACACCAGGCACGCTCTTGTCCAGGAGCCAGACTCATCCCCATCCTCTGCTGAGAGACCATCAGTGTCCCCCATGTCCCTCAAGATAAAGTCCCGAGGCTCTGGAGGCCTCATGGCCTGGCCGCAGCTGGTGTGGACGGTGTCACTTCTCCACCCCACCAGGCCTCACACTGAATGGCTGAACCACACTGCCCCCTTCCTGCCACACACAGGCCCCTCGCTGTCCTCCTGGCCTCTGTGCACTGGCCTCCCCTGGGTGGACCCCCACACGTACCACCCAGGGTCTCCACAGCACTGGGGGCAGAGGCACCTGTGAGCTCTGCAGACCACTCCTGGAGGAGCTAAAGCCACCCCTGCCTCCACCTGGTCACCTCCCACTCTTCCTCCTGAGCTCAGCAAGGACATGACGATCTACCTACTTAAGGGGCTTCCTATGGCCTCCTGTGCCCTGGCACTGACACCCTCGTGTGTTCCAGGTGTCTCTGTGCCCATTTACAACCCACCTCTCTCGAGGGCAGGGACCGTGCCCCTCATGTTCACAGATAATAGCTTCTGAACTCGGCACTGTCCCTGGAAGGGGGCAGGCACCCGGTAGAGGTTTGTTGAGTGACTGAATGAGCGTTGTCCCTAACCCCTGCCATGCCCAGAGCTCTTCTCTCACCAAATCCCGGGACCCCTGCTCTCCCTTCTGTTTTGCTTTGTTATTGGCCTGACTTTTCACCTGACTCACCTTCCCAGTTGCACAAGAGGTTCTGGAAGCAAAGAACAGTGAGAGTGTCCATGACAATGACAGTGACAGTCACAGCTGCCATTAACTGAGCATTTATGGCTTCCTGTGCACCCATCCGTCCCTTTCCATCCTTGATCCCACTCGGTGGTTTTAATGTTTGCAAAAGCCCTATGATTGTTCCCCAGTCCCGTCACAGGACAGGGGTTCCCAGGATCCAGGCTGTGGCGGACTCCTGGGGAGTCCTGTTCAGACTCACTGCACCCCGAGTCTGTTCAGGGTTCCTACCCAGCCAGCGCTGTTCTCCCCGAGCCACACTCTGAGAACCCCGATTCTAGAGGGTTGTTATCGTCCTGGTCCTCGGGTCCAGGCACCTGAGGCTCAGAGAAGTCATGTGACATTCCCTGGGTCCTGCCACTCATAAGTGCGGGCCCTGTGACCCCAGCCCTGATGGCGGGCGCTCCTCCTCTCTGCTAGCCAACTGCTTTCTGCCTGTTTCTTATTTTTCCAGCCTGAGCCTCCGGAGGAGCCGAGGCGTCACTCCTCCCTTATCTCCCTTATCTCCAGTGAGTGAGCCGGGAGGGTGCTTCCAGGGCAGAGGCCGCTGGCTCTGGCCGCAGCTGGCGGGGGTCAGCACCACTCCAGGGACAGGGTGCAGGAGGCTGCCACTCCGAGCTCAGAGAGCCTTCAGCTGGTGCCTGGGGAGGAACCAGCTGGCCCTAAAGCCCCCCCCCCAGCCCCGGGCTAGGAATGCCCAGGCAGAGAGTGGCTCCTGTCATCCTCCCGGCTCAGGAGAAGTGAGTCTCTGCTCCCTTAATTGGGCACTGGGGTCCGTTCAGTCGGCCATTTGCTCACTCGTCAGACGTTGGCTGCGTTTATTCTTGGGATATTTAGGGCTTTCCCGAGTCTTTCCCGAGTCTTTCATTGATTCATGCCCGAGCTGGGGCATCGCAAAGGAAAGCAGAAAAGGGACGAAGCTGGGCCTGTGGCACTGAGGGTCCGCGAGAGAAGAGCTCATTCATTCATTCAACAAACATCTAGGGAGGGCAGCCACAGGCCAGCCCAGGACAAGGCTGGGGCCTCCCAGGTGAACAGGACAGACCTCGTCCCTCCCCGTGTAGAGCTCCTGGCCTCTTGGGGACAGCTTACCCGACAAGCTGGAGGCTTAATGATGTCTGCAGGGGCCTGCGAATAAGGGAAGGGATGGGGCAGACAGAGAGCCGGCCCAGGGCTCCAAGGCAGGGGCGCACAACACAAGCTCAGGGCGTGGAGGCCAGAGTCGTGAGGGTGGGAGAGGTGAGACCGAGGCGGTCAGCAGGGCAGACCACACAGCGCCTCTCCAGCCCGCATACGAGAGGGATCGCATCGTGTGGCGAGAGGGGTGAGCGCTCCGGGCAGAAAAATAATGTGGCATCTTTTATGCATTTTAAGTGTGGAGAATGCTGGTCACAGTGGCTCAGGCCTGCAGTCCCAGAGACGTGGGAGCTGAGGCAGGAGGACTGCAAGTTGGAGGCCAGCTGAGCCAACTTAGCAAGACCCTGTCTTAAAATAAAAAATAAAAAAGATTGGGAAGTGGGTGAGCGTCCCTGGGTTCAATGCCCTGTACCAAAAGAAAAAAAAGAAAGAAAGGAAAGAAAGAGAGAATGTGTAGAATGGAGGCAGAGAGGCCAGAAAGGAGGCTTGTTTAGGAATTTAGAGAAGAGAGCTGAGAGAGGGAGATGACAGAATGGCTGAAAAAAAAAATTTTTTTTTTTTAATGGAGCTGACCAGCCTTGCAGGAATCAGATCGCAATTTCTCTTTCTTGTACAAGAAGAGAGAAGAATCAAGGATGACTCCCACTTTAGCCTGACTCAGGATGAGTTAGTGCCATTCACTGAGATAGAAAGACCAGAAAAAAAGTGGATAATTGGTTATAATCTGAAATACAGCTATGAAAGAGAAAAGCTTGAGGTTCTGATATGGAATTTGAGAGATTCAGTGAAGGTCCCCCCCCTGAAAAGACTGTTGAATATAGGATTTGAGGGAAGAGTTGGAGAGAGGCCCATGAAGAGGCAGGAGGGCTGTGCGTGCAGAGGTCCTGGGGCACTCCGGCCAGCGTTCATTCCAGTTTGGTTGTTGGGCGCCTGTGCCCATACAGCATGACAGAGCAACGGAAAGCAGAGGTGAAAATATGCAAGGAGGTCTGAGATTGTCACAGAGGGCCACCCACCATCCCAGCATGGTCAGCAAATCCTTCCCAAGGAGGTGACACCAGAGTTAAGTTTTGAAGGATGCTTGAAAGTTCACCAAGAGAAAAAGCGTGACGGGGTCATTCAAGGCTGTTGTTGAAGCAGAAAACACAAAGCTCCGAGTAGCCAGCATGAAATACTTGGTGGGTGGCTCGTGAGTAAATGAGCGCGGGGGAGTGGAGGAGCTGGGAGCCAGGCTGCCTGGGATGCTGAGCAGGGCGAGGAGTTGGACTCCAACCAGACAGGCAGCGGGGAGCGGCAGGGGGCTGGAAACCAGGGGGTGGGGGAAGATCTGCATGATCTCCCCCACCAGACGCGTCCCCAATCCTGGAGGGCTGTTCCTGTGGCACGTGGGACATATCATGCCCCAGAACTGCCTTCTGAGCCAAGCACTCATGCCAAATCCATTAATAACCCGGCTGCCAAGTGCCATTGCTCACTTCTGACACTATACAGGCGACCGTCCCAACCCAGAGTCACCGGCCTGAGAACTTAACACGACTCCTATGGAGCCAGCAGCTCCTTGTGCACATCACCTTGACCGTGTCCCCTGTGCACTGAGCCGCAGCCTCCAATGGCCGAAACCAAGGGCTTTTTTGATGAACCCAGGCATCTTGGTCTTTCTCTTTTCATTGTTTAGCCGTAATATATAGGTACTCCTAATACAGAGCATTTGGGAAATATGGGAAACCTAATACCCCCACAAAGACCACTGCGGTTGGCATTTGCCCCCCATTATCATCCACGCGTTTTCCATCATTGAGATCATTCCACAGAGATTTGCCTTTTCGGTTATCACTTTAATCATTTGTAACTTTAAAAAAGTATCTTCTCATGAACCTTTTAAACCTTAATCTCTACGTTCACCCTAATTTCCTAAACGGGTCTGGATGGACAGAGCCCAGAGAGATAAACCTCCCTCCCTCCACCCTGCCTGGGACAAACGGACAGGAAGTGCTTTGTATATGGAATTTCCCCCCAAAAGTCAAGAGATGGAGACCCCATCCAGGCCCTCCCCCTCCCCCCCGTGGCTGTCCTTCCAGGGTCCTAGCTCGCCTCCCCCACCCGCAGCCTGTGAAGCACCATGCCTTCCCTGCCCAGTGCATCTTCTGGGTATTATCATCTTTAAAGATCCCTGCCCACAGACGTTGAAAAAAAAAAAAAAAAAGCAAATGGCAGAGCATTGTTGCCACGTCCTTGTTAGTGAGAGATGGCCCCCTTGTCCAAACATTTGATAAGCAGTTGTATTTCTGCTGTGACTCATTCATCCCTGTCCTCTACCCATATAGGAAGTGGGACTGAAATGTTATTCTTATCGATTTGCATAAGCACTTGAGATAGTGCGGTATTTATATCTGTGTGTCTCTTTCCATTTTAGGTTGCATGAGCCCGAGAAGAACGCCAGGGATATAACCCAGGTACAGTCCTTGGTGAGCCGCCCTTCCTGGGAAACTCAGGGTGTGATTTCCTTGC